AATCTCCCCACTTGGAACCCCCGATGCGAGTTACAAATCTAGACTCAGATCAGTAATCACGATAAGTACCTTCCAGTTGCCAGAAGATTCGAACTGCCCTAGTTTTAAAGCAAACCAACATTTTTTGTAAGGCACGATAATTTTAAATATGCCAACATCATCTTTGTTATTTCTGCATTCGTTGAGGATGTTCAAAGCTTTCGTGAAAGTTTTAATATATATAACTTTTTTCAAATGGAATTTCCCATTATTTTGGTCCTTTTCCTGTTTGGCTTGCTTGTCCATGAAATCTTTTAGTACGTAATTATTTTTCAGCGTTGTTACATTCTTCGCGGTAATTGAATCCAGCAGAAAAACAGCATCACAGTGTTTGTTGGCAATATTGAAGTTTAGTTCCACCTTGTCTGACTGAAATTTCGAGTAGGTATTCAAAATTTTGCAGCATTTTTTTAACTTGCAATTAATGGAGAAAGCATTTTTATTCACCTTCATATTTGGAAAGGCAGTTAGCGAGGGGTTAATAAGTTCTATTCCACATTCAAACTTCTTTAAGGCATCCGTCACGCTGCACTGATGCTTGAACAGCAAAATGCATATGCCATTCTTATCAAATAAATCAATAGTTATTTTTGTACTCTTTGAAACGTTCTTAAAGATGTCATATATTTGGAAAATATAAACGAGGATGATGATTTCATTGTCCGTTGCGCTTTTTAAAATAAAGTTATCGTAAAATAAATCATCCATGCTAATCTTTATAAATATTTCCACATCCTTCTTTTCGTTTCCAAATATGTACAGATATTTTTCCGAGAATTTGAAGCACAGGAAGGAGTTTTCCATGGCAAAGGACGAGAACTCCTTCAGCCCCTTCAAAATGTGCGAAAAGTCGTCTATACCATCTGGCTTGAACTCCGCATGCAGTTTCATTGCGCAGAAAAGGGGGGAAGAAAATAAAGGGGCAAGGGAGCAGGGACCGGACCAAGTGAAGAAACCATGGGAAAACGAAGTGCGGCACACAAAAAACGACGTTCCTTAATGACCCCCCCTTTAACTGCTACAGTTTGCAACTATTTGTAAGATAGCGAGTGTGTTATTCTCCGCATTGGGGAAATTTATTTTAATTTGCGTGCTGTGTGGGAGATGCCTATATCGCGCTTTTCCCCTGCTTCGAATTTCACCCTTTTATGCACTGGTTCACACCTATATGTACATCCAATGGCGTGTTTCGGTATGCGTGTGATGATGCGGGGGTTCCTTTCGCTGTTGCGCTGTGTTAGCGTGTAACCCTTCGTCCGTGTTCTTTCTGTGAGCCTTCCACTTACCGTTTTTTTTCGCAGGCTCATTTTCCTTTCCCTTGGCATGCTTTCTGCAAGATTGCAATGTTTTTTGGGGGATCGCACTTTTCGTCCGTGCTCCCTTGCTTGTTAGTTTATGGCATTTGGTCGCCCAATTTTTTCCCAATTTTTGCCCAATTTTTTTAGCATTCTCATTTTGTTTGGTCCTCACGCGGATACGCTCAAAAAGTTCCTCGTTCGACAACTAACCTGTTTGTTAATTTGTTTTTTAACAGCCGACCGCTAACCGCAGTTGCAACGGGAAATTCAAATGGAGCGATGCTGTATTTTCACGCACGCATGGACGCGTGCACACCGGTTGTATATCCACATTTTATCGCAATAATAAGCGCACGTCGGTTTCGTTTTTAAGTGTATCTCCTCCGCAAATTAAAAAAAAATATATATCTTTATTTTTCTCTTTTTTTTTGATAATTTTCCACATAAAAAAAATAACCATGTGAAAGAAAAAAAGAATAAATCCCTTTTTTGGTAAGTCTTTTTTTGTCTCTATTTTTTCACTGCACTGATTAGACATATCACGCTTTGTTCTTTTTTTTTAAGTGTTCCTCTTCCAAGCTCCTTAGCTGGGTCTTCCAAAATTCGCGTTCCTGGCGTGTGGGGGGAAATCGTTACAGATGGTTAAGCGGTGTGGAGAGTGGCGCTGTTATCGGTGGTAGCCTTATTACCGGTGGTAGCGTTGTTACGGGTGGTAGCGGCACTGTCGGTTGCTCAAACACGCAGACACATTCATCATCGGGATGAAAGAACAAACGCGAAGATGCTGAACAAAATGCCAGCTCCAGAAAATCAGAAAGATGTTGTAGCCCCTTTGTGATATCCCTTACCTGTTTTAGCTTTTCAATTTTCTTCCTCAAATTTAGCAGTATCGCCACGTCCGTTCGCAAAATGCTGCATTTGAAAAGGAACACGGAAAAAGCAAAATTGAGGTGAACACGGAAAAAGAAAAATGAAGGTGAACATGCAAAGAAGAAAAAGGCAAATTCTACAAAATCGAATGTTCGGGATGCAGTTGTACCCATATAGGAAGCATATATTTTCTGTGTAAATTGTCGGCTTGTCTATTTCGTTATCCTTTAAATAGGTGTCTAATTTATCATAGTAGGAGATATCTATTTTAAGCTTTTGAAAATAGTATCTTGCGCTGTATATATTTTTTTCTTCCTTGTCATCCTCGGGCAATTTATTTATCTGTGAGGTGGGCCAGGGGGTGGTGATAGCAAAAAAAAAAAAAAAAAAAAGGGGGCATATTTGCGCGGGAATATAACATATATAGGGGAATAATCATTGAGGAGGATGGTATTTTCCATTTCATTGTTCTTTAATCGGCGCATCGCCTTGGTCGCGCCTTCTAATCCTGCGCATTGGTGTCTCTGCTATACCTGTACTATCTCCTCTGTGGTTAGCTCAAACCTCTTCTTCAATTTTTTCATATCCGAAGCCTTCTTCAACTCCTGCTTAATTTTGTTTTCAAATTTTTTAATATTCTCCATGGTTATTTCTTCCAACATGACGTCCTTTTTCGATACTGTATAAGTTTTGTGAATGAGATTTTTTCTTTCGATGTCCGCCTCTATATTGTAGGTGAATTTTACGAGTGGGTGCTTCGCTTTTGCTTCTTTTAACTTAAGGATGTCACTATTATTTTTTATTTTTTTCGCTTCTTCTAACTTAATTTTTTGATCAAACAGATCTTCAATAACTTTCTTAGACACGCTATAAAATCGGTCCTTTATTTCTTCGATGGTTCTTTTGTATTTTTCATCATATACGTCGTGCACAATGACGAAGTGGCATTCATACTTTTCACACAGTTTGAATAAATAGTCCGTTTCTTCCTTTGTCCATTTTGGATTCATGTTTTTTATTTCTTTTTCGTAGAATTCGTCTGTGTACTTTATGATGTTTATTTTTTTATTAAATCGTTCGAAGGTGTAATCGTCCTCCACGTTGTTTTCGTCAAACGCGCTTCTATCAGTTCTATCAGTTCTATCAGTTCTATCCGCTCGGGCACCCCTATCACCTTTGTCATTTTTGTATCCAATTTTTTTCCACTTTTTCAGGATCAAATCGTCTTTTCTGCATTTGTTCCTGAAGCTCACTAGTCTCCAGATGCTCACATTTTTGCTACTAAACTGATGGGGGGGGACGGGAAATACGGAAGAAAAGTGATTTTATTTATTGCCATTTTGGGAGATGTGTTTGCTTTATTTTGGGGGGAGACACGGGGTACCAAAACCACGCGTGGGTCCATGTTACGCTCTTTAACCCGTGTCTACATTCGAGATAGCAGAAATGTGTAAAACGCATGGGTCATACGATTACACACTTATATGAGTAAGCCATTACGTTTATTGTTTTTGACGAGGTGGGGAGCGAAAACATGTTGTCGTTTTGTTTGAGAAAATTCAGTTCCTGTTTGCTCTTCTTTTCCTTCTGTTTCTTCTTGTTCTTTATTTTATCGATGTTGATACCGAGCATGTCATATATGTGACTCATTTTGGAGCATTCGATTTGGAAGAAAGTTAAGCAGGGGGGGGGGGGAGTCCTCAGTAGTTGACAAAAGGAGACGGCGCATTTCTACTTGATATGCAGTGAAGACGGATATATGCTCATTATATAAACAAAAAAAAATAAAAATAAAAAGGACGCACAACGGAGCTAATCGGAAAGGGCAACCACATGGGGAACTCAAACGAGCTTCCACAATATAGAAACGAAAAAGGACGCAAAAAAAAAAAAAAAAAAGGAAAGGCACAACTGCAGGCGCCAATTTTGGAAGATGTAAAACCATATGCTACGCAAAATGACAGTCTAGATAGTTGTACGTACTTATAAATGTTTGACGCACAGGTGAAGTGAGAACGACTAGAGCAGTGGTCTAGGCATCTGCCATTCGGGGCTTCCAGTCCTACTTCTACCCTTTACAATTTTCACTCGAAAAAAGGCGTTTTTCTTTCCTGTGCACTCAGGAAAACTAGAACAAGCACATCGTTATTTAAATTCACATAAGCGCATTCGTTTAACTGTGTATATGTGCATGACTCGCACAGTGTACCCTGTGGCGGGGGTGTATGTCACGCAAGCCCTCGGGGATTTCGTTCAAATGAATGTCCTATTACACAAGCTTTTGTGGTTTAGCATGGGCAAAAAAAAAAAAAAAAACGGCGAAAAAGGAACAACAAAAAAAGAAGAGCAAAAAGAACAGCAGAAAAAAAGCAAAATTGATAAGTGAACCCATTTATTAATACTGAGTATCGGTAATAGCAATTACTGTGAAAAGTACACGAAGCTGCGATACGTTGGGATTCCCTGATCGCACTCTTCCAAGGGAAAATGTTCTTCTTAGGCTACCCCCACATTGTCGACAAGAAAAAGGCCTATACATGTAAGCATACATATAAGCATGCACGTTCCTATTTTTTACTTTCCTGATTAGTACATAGTCACGTGCATTCTTTAAAGCGCAGGCAATTTTTCTCCTTTGCGCCTCCCTAAAGGTTCCTTTTTCTTCAATTCAATTTCTGTGCTTGACTTCCAAAAAGAAAAAAAATGCAAAAGGTAAATTTTTACAAGTGCAACAAAAAAAAAAAGAGAAAGCGCGAACACAAGTTTATATAACACAACCTTCGCCCTTCGACGATGAAAGAAATGTTGAAGCGGAAGAAGAGGTGGGGAAAAATAAAACATCAAATTAGTGAAAGCTTACCAAAATGAAATAAACACAGGGATGCAAAGTAACATCATGGGATGACGCCCACATTTTGGCTGATCATCCTTTTCATGATTTCATTACAGAAACATCCTGTTTGGTGTGAAAAAAAAAAATGCTCATTTTTCTTAAGTGTAGTAATAAGTAAATACAACAGCAGCCATGGAAGAAGTGATTGGAATTACAACACGTCTTATACTAGACGATCGAATTTTTTCAGAGAACAAAAAAAAAAAAAAAAAAATTTAATTCAAAATGGAATGAGTTTATCGCTAAGCAGTAAGAAGCCAAGTGTATTATGCGCCTTTAATGTAGACGAAGAGAAGAAGATATTTTTTCACAACTTACTTAACTTCCGTTTGGTAGACGTACTAACCATTTTTAAGCTGCTACTGCAGCTGAGGAAAGTAACTTTGTACAAACATACTGACAACATATCATTTACGGTGAGGGAAATGAAAAAGGGAAACAACTCTTATAAGAGCACAATTCGCACTTATTTACTATTTTTAAAAAAATATTTATCGAGAAATGAGTACGGAGAAGATGCGCTTTTAGAGTTGTTTAGGCATCTCCAATTTGAGAAGCAAACGGAAAAGCAAATCGACGTTACAACAAGTTATGATGGAATGGATAGTGAAGACATTCCAACCGATGGTTATGCTCGAAAGGGGGCAGAAGCACACCGCACGTGGGGGGTTAACAAAAAAGAATACACCGTTATGTACATGTTAAAAAAAATTATTCGCAATCTTAATGTTGACATTAGGCAAAAAGGTTACATAAACAATGTGCGCGATAAATCGTTCCTATTTAAATTTCTTGTAAACAAAAAAAAATTTCGCATTTTATCATTTTATAAGAAAATAAAAGGGGTGTACTACTTGTGCCGAAATATTATGTACATGCAGATAAGGAGCCACCTGCAGAAAGACATAGCAGTAATGAGCCTTGTATCGACGAACAAATCATTCTTAGAAATTGAGAAAAGCAAAATAACAGTTGATCCTTTTTACGTAAAATATTATTATAAATATCATCTGAATAAGTTGCTCTGCTTATCTGAACAGTTGTTCCTCTCAAGGGGTAATCCCATCAAGGAGGGGAACTTCATACATCTTTCACAAATGGAAATGTGTACTGACAGAAGTGAGGAACGGGGTAAAAGTGAGTTTTCTTCCCAGGATAACATTCCCATTTGGAGTGGTCAGGCTATCCCAAATGAAGCAGATAATAAAAATAGCATAAAAAGGAACGCAGCAACACGTTTAAAAAAGTATGGCATAAATATTAAAGTAATAAACGTGTACCTGAATGGGAAATTCTCCGTCGCCTTACCACTCGTCTTAACGTACAACATAAATAATGATATTTTTTACTTAAACGATTTGTTCTACCTCGATGGAACCAAGTATGATCTGGGAAGCATACTCACCCGAAGAGAGATTTATTTTAATAATTTATCCCTTTTTCAGTGGAAAAATTTCAGTTACCTGAACAATGAAAATATTATCCTAAATAGCGACAACCTTCATTTTGACTTAAATTATGTTCTTCTGTTTTACCACTTATATTTCAATAAGGGGGGAAAATTGTGCATCCGTCGACATATAAATCCGACCTTTTCTTTTTACCCCCCCTTAGGTAGTAAGAAAGGAGCGAATCCAAAAAGGGTGGAAAGGATTGTATACCGGTCTGATAAGAATGTCCTTAATTTCGTTTTTTGAAATTTTCCAGCGGGATGTGTGGTGGAGCCGTGGGCCTTTCTGCCATCCAGTAGTGCACCATGATCTAAGCAGGGGGGGCGGGTCTACCCCCCTGTCATCATTATTTTGGCCCCTATGTCATGCTACTCACGTTTGACTAAGAAAAAAAAAACTAGCCATTCTTTGAATTTTCCTCTTTTCACACATACGCGTTATTTACGACAAAAAAAAAAAACAAATTAAACGAAATAATTAAGTGGGTCTGTAACTAGATAAACATATGCTGGGTCAATACTTACCCACGGATCTCGCGCCTCTTATTCACGCACGTTCTGATGTGATGTCGCAGCTTGGTCTGCCACACTTGCACCCGCTTGCTTACATAAATGGGCGCAAACAGGGCCAATTTTTGAAACAAAAAAAAGGGAAAAAATAAAAAGAAGGATGATGCCTGATAATGCTCGAAGTGACCAAGGCCATCCTCGAAGTAACCAGGGCTGAGTGGTAAAGTGCCCCCGTTAAGCCAACCTCCTTACGTAGTCGTCAATGAAGGCGCTCACCGACTTGTAGTTAACGTGCACCTGTGAATCACGTTGACTCATTTGGCCCTTCAAGAGGCCTATAATTCTGTTCTTAAAGTTTTGCTTGTTGAGGACAGTTTTCCCCCCATTGATTTTTAAATGCTGTATATTATCGTCAATCAGTTTTTTCAAATCTTGCTCCATTTCTACAATGCTCACGTTTTTAAATGTTGTGAGGAGGAGCTCATTTTCGAATCCTACATCCACATAGTTAAAGAGGAACGCCTTCAAAGCGGTGTTGTCTAAGTTGTTCTGAATAGCATACTTAATGAGGAAGCAAAAGTTTTTCGGCTTTATTAATACATTTTTGGAAAGCATATTTTTCTTTTTTATCACGTCGAGGAGTATATTAACTATAAAATTGGACACATATTTTTCTTCTTCAAATTTTAGGCATTCATTAAAATAGTTGTATAAAAAGGGATCATTCAGGAAGACATAAAAATATTGTTTGGACCAGTTGTACTTCACTTCATCCTCGTATATTTTTATTTTATAATTAACATAAAATTTTAGCAGTTTTATAACATCTTTGCTAAGCTTATATTGGGGGATGTTCCTCTCGTGCACATAATTGTATACTTCCTTTTTCCTGACAACATAGTGCGTACTGTCTAGGTAGCTTTTTGTATACATTTCGTTCGACTTGGAGTGGTAGCTTTTTCCTGTTCCCCTTGTCAAAATTCTATTAATAAAATTTTGCTTCTCCTGCTCTATGCAACTCTTAATTCTTCGGAAGCTGTTAACATTTTTGATTTCGACTCGGCTGTACTTCACCTTATCGTATTCAAAAGAGATGTTAATGTCTGACCTGATATTTTCCTTGTTCCCAACGCATACCCCGAGTAGACACACTTTATTTTTTATCTCCTTCAGTAGGTTAATGCACTCTTCTGCGTTCATGTAGTCATCTTCGACCACGATTTCCGCTAGGGGGATCCCGCAGCGGTTGTAATCTAGTAATATTTTCTTGTTTAGATGGCTTACTTCGTTTGGACTGTCGGATGGATGGTTTCCTTCGTTAACACTGTCGGATGGCTGATCTTCTGGGTGACAACTACGAGAGCCCAGTTCTTCACCGTCCCTGGTGGACCATTCATCATTTATGTCCCCATTGTCTTTCTCCCCTGCGCCACTACCATTGTTAAGGTTCAAAATGGCACTGGCCGCCGTAAATGCACTTACATTCCCATCACTGCTACTTTCCCGGGGGGTAGTACCCCCTCCATGGAGCATACTCGCATTTCGGGGAAGCAAGAAACACTTGCTCGTGTCTTCCTCTAGGTGCACACTCTTTATGCGAACCTTCTTTCCCTCCACAGAAATGTAACCATCGAAACCGATGGGCGTTTCCTTTTGCGTAATCTGATAACCTTTGGGCAAGTCATAATAATTATAAATTTTTCTGTCAAAAGTGACAACATTGTTTATATTGCAATTAAGAATAATGCTAATTAGGTATGTGAACAAGACAGCCGTGCTGTTAAGTAAGCTTAGGGAGCCCACCTCACCTACACACCTGTTGCATATGTGTTTGTTTGGCCTATTAATGGCATACTTAGCGTCTTCACCAATGGGGCGCTTCGTCTCTGCGCAAATTATCCCCCCTAGAGCCTTCCTCGGAGGTGTTCCCTCTCCTGGGCAATTCCAATCTGCTGCCTCATCTCCTGTCTTCAAAATGTTGTCCTTTAAGAAATTGCACAAATCGATATAATTCCTCTCGTATGTTTTATTGTTATGTGAAGAAGCGACATTAAAGCAGTTACAGAAGGCTTTACACTTTGTGCTCAGCTGCACGTGGGCTTCCACCCCAATTCTGCATTTTACGTTTCTTTCGATAGCGGCATAATTGGCTATATCGTCACTGCCGCCTGTTCGGTTGTTGGAAACCGTAATTCTAATTCCTCTGTGCCTTTTTGTTTCCCCCTTATTACGGAAGAGGAAGTCCCCCGGGCGGGTAAGGCGGGTTGGTTTGTAGCAAGTGAATATCTCGGTTGAAATGAAAATGAGAACGCAGGGGAAAAAGGCACGAACGATCATTATACGTTTATATATATATATATATTTGTGTAGTTATATGTGCGTATAAACCGGGCATGCTGTTTCGCCCTTTCCTCTGCTTATGTAGAGGGTAATCGCTTTTTCAGGGGAGGTATCCAAAGGTTGGGCCGCACCGCTATATATTGTACGGGTGGAATGCGCGCATCTTCTTCCTACTTTTTTTCTCCTTCTTGTGTGCCTCCCGGTGTCATCTTGTCAATGCCATAGCGCTATTAGTGTTTTGCTCTCACCGCTGCGCCGATTTGTCATTAAAAAGGGGTGAGCGCATAATCCTATTTGCGCACAATTTGGGCTATGGAATCTTTGGGGAAGCACATCGGCGTCACGTGCCCATATAACGTGCATTAGAAAGCTGCGTTTAGCAATTGTCAGATTTGCTGGTGCACCACCTGTTTTGCATCCCCGTTGTGTTGCTCACCTTTTATCGCAGCCCAGAATGTAGATTCATCCACTGTGAGTCGTATTATACATCGCTCTGCAGTGCTGCACGGATTAACGTTGCGCTCTACTCGCTTTTATTTGCATACATTTTTGTATCTCCCCGTTCCCCTTTTAGTGTGCGCCTTTTTTTTGGCACAGAACTTCCCTCCAATTTTTTATCCCAACTAGCCATTTTTAAACAGCTGGAAAATGAGCCCCGCGAAGGAATCCAAAAAAGGTAATGCAAAGCGAAAGGGATAACAAAATATAGAACTGCTGCAGGAAGAGGACGGTCCAAAATGATTCTTACCAACGGTGATGGGGAAATAATGTCTCAAGTTCCTGTTCACCTTAATGAATATATTAAAGGGGAAAAACATTATAACAACCTGTTTAGCGAATTTTGAAAGAAGGCGTGGAGGAGGGAAAAGTAACCTCTGTGCATTTCACACGAAACAAAAGAAGAAGAAGAAAAAAGAGAAAGGTCTAACTGATAGCAGGAAGGGGACAAACTTTTTAAAAACGTTATGCAATAAAAACTTTATCAATCATTTGGATCCTATAAATTTATTTGAAAATTTGAAACACGTAACTGAGTGTAGTGTCGGCGAAGATGTCATTAGGAATTATCTATACAGAGTAAAACTACTAAACGAACAATGGAGCCTTAACAAAATATACTTCATTTTAAAAACGCTCGTGAAGTATAACCTTCGCGATGTTGTGCTGATGAACAAGCTGGAGAAGACGATTAACGAGTTAGTTCCACTATGCCAGGGAAATAAGGCAGAAAAAGACCCCTTTGAAAATGTGTACATTGTGAGGATATCCTACATTCTGCATGCGTTCTGTCATTTCGGGTATACAAATTGTGAAGTGGTGGAAACGTTAGTAAACATTTTAAGCACCAAGTTTGATTACATCATTTTTTATACCAACTATGTGGGTCCAGTGTTTAACGAGTATGCTCTGGTCTGTGAGGAAAACGGCCACTATGTTGTGAGGGGGAATACCTCAGCTGCCGCGTCGCCTGACGTGGAATGGCAAAGGCGCGGCGAAGTCTTCGTCAGGAACATAAACTTCAACGAGATCTACCTCATTGTGAACACCATGAAAGGCTGGGAACACACAAATAAGGTCTTGCTAAACAAGCTCAAATTTCTGTTTTATTTTAACTGCATAGACTTAGACAGGGGAACTGATAGCAACTACAAATATGTTACCCTTCTCTTCCATTTCTTTTACGAACCGGGTGACATACATCTGTCAAACATTATGAAATTTTTTTTAGAAAAACATGCAGATATGAACAATGTGCATGACCTGGTTTTAACGCTGGTGACGGTTTACTACGAGGGCCTCGAAAAGAGAGGGAACCTTATCAGTATGAGTAGCAGCAGAGACGTCCCAGGGGAGAGGCCACTTCACAACGAAGGACATCTTAACAGTACCCATAGGAAGAACCTGAAATATCTGCAAAGCGATGATATAATTAGCGTGATAGAAGGAATTCCTTTTATCCCTAATGGGAAGAAGCAAAAATTGAAGGCGATTCTGCAGCATGTGGGTCAGCACAGCAGTGTTAGGAGCACGAACTTTGTCGATCTTATATACGAAAAAGTTTTACACATGTTGAGCCGTAAATATGAGGAGGAAGAGTTCAAAGGGGAAGAAGCCCCTGGCGCTAAATTGTCGCAAAATGTACAAGTCACGCTAAAAAGGAGAGCAAATGAAGCTTCGCTATGCCCAAGTGATAAATCAAGTGAACTACAAAGCTTAACCGAGTTGGTCAAAATTCGCATCTGTACTTTTGGAGAAGTAGATTCTTTATTCTATTTGTACTTAAAAAATAAAGTGCACCTTTTTAACATCGATACGGTACTGAACATAATGAAAAGCTTTCTTTTTGTGTACCAGCTGCAGAATGAGTTGAGTAAAAACTACCATAGGGTACTACATCTAACTGATACTTATACAAATGTTGTAAGAAACAATTTAGGCAGTCTAACAAGTCTGATCATTCAGATGGTTAGCTCCATGTCCTTAGACAGACTTTATGCCTTATGCAGTTTGAAAGATCTCAGCATGTTGCTTTATTTCTTCTACCAAATAGGCAATATATTCGTGAACCCAATGTTTGAAGAATTGTACTTAAAAAAGGTACAAAGGTATGTAGACAGTATTGTAATTACCAAGTTGAAGTTCCTTCTGAGTGGAGGAAGCCGGGATGGTCACCCCCCATCTGGCGTCACCGCAGATCTTTGGGGTAGGAAAAAAACAGAAGAATGTGATGTAAAGAGGAAACGGGATAGCACGCTACCTATAATACACACAAATGGAACATATTCGAGTGAGAAAAAAGAGGTGCTGGCTAACCGTGGCGGTGGGAGTTACCAACTTGGCGGTGCTATGCAGTACCGCCTTAAGGTACGAAGCAGTGGGGAGAACGAAAGGGAAGGCACTGGTGGGTATTTCCCAAATGTGCATTGCCCAAATAGCGCATGCGAGGAGCACGGAGAACCAATTGACGTCCACATTTTACTGCTCAATATGTACAGCAAAAGGGGACAAAACAAAAATGTAATTCATATGTTGTTGGAGATATTGAATAGGCACCAAGTAGGAAGGAAAATAATTCCTTGCACGATTTATGTAAATTTACTAAACTCTTTTGCCAAACTGAGGTACCGAAATTTGGATCTGATCGGCACTTGTTTACAAAAAATTAGTGAACACTCGGGGGAATTGCATTTTTTCGAGTACACCAATCTGCTCATCTCCCTATCGAAGCTTAACGTGTTTGCTGTTAATCTGAGTATGTACGATGGGGTGTTTTCCCCCCAAGATGGTCCTCCCCGCGGCTGCACTTATCAAGACGAGACAAACCGAATCTTCCTGAATGAGTACAACGGCGAGGACACAAAACGATTCGGCGAGGCAAAAATTGTCCACTATTTAAAAATAATTTTGAAGCAAATAAACGAAAGTATCAGTAACTTTGTCGCTATCCCAAATTACAAAATGGCCAACGTCATACCAAACGTGCTCAGCAGTTATACAGTTTTGGGTTTTGACAAAATTGATTTTAAAAATGTGAACAAATTGTTGGAGTGTTTTCATGACTATGTGTTTGGTTACTTCCGGGAAAGACTCCTGAGCGGTTGTAGAAGCCGCTCAAGCAGTGATAGTAGCCGCCAAACCCGTGATAGCAGCCGCAGCGTTGGCGACACCAACCCGAATGAGGGTGAACGTAAGGGAAATGAACACTCATATTTGCACCAAGACATTCTCACCTGCATGAATAACCCAATCAGAAAAAACCACTACTGGTACTTCAGTGAAAAAAACAACATCATAGTAAGGGGAAAGGACACCAATGAGACGCTGTACCTTCCAATTCAGTGCTTATACCAAGTGTACATTTTTAATGTCTACTTCGGGGCGTACGTGCAGCGCTTGTTTAGTTCCTACGGATGTGGAAAAGTGGTTTCAGGGCAAGTACGAATTGGGGAGGCGCTAATTGGCCAATCCGGTGGAGAAAGCAGTTCACGAAGCTTTCCAAACAGTACAAATTTATTCTTAAAAAACAACCCAGATGTTAAAAAACCCGAAACTTCCACCCTTCTAAGCGAACGCAGCAAGCACATCCTAAATAACGTCACTTTTTTTGTCAAGTATATAAACAATTTTTATAAAAAGAAGAGGTATGAAAGGTACAATCTTTGCACACAGTTTGTGCACAGGTGTGGGGATAAGGCAGCCTCAAATGAACAGCTAATTCATTACGTAAAAAACTGTTGCATGAAAATCAAGTGGGACCTTGCTAGTGTACATTCGTCCAGTTTTCACAGAGAGGTACTATCCACGGTGCTTTCACTGGGCGTTAAAAATGTGCAGTGCGAGGTAATGAAATGGAATGGGCACCATCTTCGCGCAGCGGTCGCATAGGCGTAGGAGAGAAGCCACCTGGGCTGTGCGTCCGGGAGGTGGCTCCCCATGCACCAGCTTTCCGAGGATTCGTCACAAAATTTTCACTGCTTCTTTACCGCTTTGTTACCCCTTTTTTACCATTTTTTTCACCCCTTTCCCCTCGAAGGTCCCATTCATGGACGGAATATACACCGTGGATATCGTCATTAACAATTCGGTAATGCAAAAGGCGTGGACACTTGAACACAATTTTTTTCGAAGACGCCACACGTTTAGTTAACACACAACTGTACACGTCTTTCCTTTTTTGTTTTCCCCCGTAGGTATGCATAGAAATTAACGGAAGCAACCATTACTACTACGACAACAACTTGAGAAGATCAGGAGAAAAACTCGATGCCCTAAACCTGATAAAGTATTACTTGCTGAGCAAAAAGTACAAATTAATTTTGGTCTCGTACCTGGACTGGAATAATCTAAAAAGTGCTGAGGGGAAGAAGGACTACTTGGTGAAAAGGATGCACGCGTAGGATCCACGCGCATAATCCATGTAGTGAACTGTCAATCATGGGAAGGATGCCGCTGCCTTCATTTTAAAAAACGCTTCTAGTGATGCAAAAGTTGTACTTCAAAAAAAGTGCAGTTGAACGAGTGCTACCGTGGGGACACCATCAAATGGGCACTTCCAGCAAAAAAAAAAAAAAATTGGATGTGATAAAATTGTGGCTTCACAAAATGATGTCTTTCGTGGGTAGCACTCGTCTGGATACCGCGATTATGTGTGCCCCGGATAGCGCCTACAAAGTGGGACAGCGTAGGGGGGTAACCTCCTCCCCCCAAGTGGCTACCTCCGTGCTACAATGCTATCCATGAAGGACTGTATATTATATGTGTCACTTTGCATGGAAGAATTTTCTGGGAGGTGGTTATAATTGCAGTGCAAATCCAAGCGATAGACCTGCGTTTGAACTTTGAGGAAGTTCAGTTTTTTGTAAATTCTTAGGGCGATCTCGTTATCCACAGTCAAGTCGCATCTGTTACATTGGTATATGTATTTAAGCACATAGATACTTATGTACATAATTAACAGACCGAATCCTCTGTTTCGATAATTTTTATCAACTACAAGTCTTTCAATGCGTGAGTCGAAGAATCTCCCCATGTGAAAGAGCAAATACATTTCTGTGTACCCCACTATATGTTTCCCGTCTAAGTTATATTTTTTTAGTTCTTCAGGGATGTCACTTCCATTTAGTATTGCTTTCGTGTCGTGCTTTACTTCCCCCTTTTTGAAGTACTTTTTGTTTTTATCTTTTCCCTTTTTTATGATATCTTCTATTCCCAAAATGGACGATTTTAAAAATTTTGGGGGGTTAAATTCTCCAACCTTTTCCCCGCACGAACTGTCCTTATCGTACATATAGAGGACATACGGATAATAAAAGGATTTTCCCAACATCTCAAAGAAGATTATGTCCCCGAAAAATAAATTGCACGTTGTGACATCTCGCAGGAGACTGTTGCAAACGGTTAGGTATTCATAGTAAGTGGATACTACCTTAAATTTAAATTTGTAATTGTTAAAAAGTAAAACGTACTTGTACAGTACCCTTTTCTTGTTTAGCACGTCCAAATAGGATCTCTTCCATTCATCAGGTTTAGTTATCACGGGGAGCTTATTTTCTTTGCTGTTTTCCATTTTGAATGTCACTAACACGGTTGGCTTAACCGTGATAGAGTAAATTACATTAAAGGCAGAAGAGGGAAAAAAACAAGAAAAAAAAAAGGCCCAGTTTTTATCTATAACCTGAAAAAGATACCCCTTCAGGCAAAACTCATAGGTAGTTTCTGTATATAGCATCATCTCCCTAAGGAGGTGAAAAAAAAAAAAAAGTAGCGCTCACTGTGCAGCAGCTTCACAAAAACTGGACTTTTTCGGAAACTACTTGGTGATTACCCTTTCTGCAGATCGGCAGAGCAGAAGTTTTCTACTCATGCGGGGACTGCCCTTCTGCTGTGCTGCTCTTCTTGCTCCGCCCACAAATGTGTAAAGTCGGTCATGTAGCAGTGCGCCCATATGCAAGTATACTTTTATGTGCATATAATAACGCCAACTCGCGGGGAACGATCACGTACCTGTGGTTACCTTCGCAAAAAGGGGTTGGAAACTTCTTACGATGCTTCTACTTCAATTTCGTTGTGCCGATCAACATGGGACTGTCTCATGTGCGACGCTTTAATTTAAAAAAAAAATATATATTCTCATTTAAAAAAAGATGTACACACCGTTGTCATAGTTAAACAAGCGCTTATAACTTCATTCCACTTTGTTCATTCTTTTTCGTTTCAATGTGTAAAGCGTGGGGGGGTTAAAAAAAGTAAGATTTTAAAAAGGAAAAAAGTTACTACATGCAAAGGCGGTATTTGCCATCAGGTCCCAATTAGGACAAATTATTGGCGGAAAAAAAAAAAAAAAAAAAAAGGGAGGCTCAAAAATGTATATGCAAAAATGCGGTAAAATATATACATGCATTGCGTATGAAGGGAGACTTGACATTATGTTCATGTTGATATCACCTCAAGTGGGGCATATATCGAATGGCATTTAGGTTTCCGCCGAAGGAGAGGTCGAACGGCCATCGTTGCATAGCCAAAAGTGCTTGAAATCAAATATGTCGAAAAAAGCTGCTTGCACAAATCAATTCGGCGTGGTATCAACGAAGCAGATACAGTTGGGGAAACAGTCTCTTTTTTAAAAAGTTGGCATTGTTTGTTGGTTTGTAAGAGGGAAAAATTTGCTTCTAGGCCTTATTTGGTTGGACTTGCCAACATTGGTGTAGTTCCTTCCATCCCAGTTTGCAGACGGGGAAGACCTACATGTCCCCCATCTCCTTGCAGGATTTACAATTAAGTTGAGACACGGGAACTCTTTACGAGCAACTTTTCATACATTTTGTGATAGTTACTAGAGAAGAAAACATCGTAAGGAAGCGGAGAGGAGGTCGCGAAATGCTCCTTCTTAAATCTAGCTATTTCACTGTGCGTGTACTGCTTCAATTCAGAGACGGTTTTTAAATGAGTTAGTAATTTTCCGTGGTCCCATATGAGACGTAATTTCTGTTCCACCTTTTTGGGGATAATGAAAGATTGCTTATTTCCATCCAGGACATTGACACAGACAATTTGTTGATTCTCAGAAGGGGGTGCTTCATCAAAATGTTGGATAACATCATGGGAAGCTAAATTATCATCTGTGTATAATCGGTATACCCTTTTTCGGTAGGGAAAATTAGCTTTCTCATTTTCATTTGTTAATTTAAAACACGGATGGTTGTTAATCTCGACTAGCTTGTAGACGAGTCCTAGGGATGGCTGCGATTGACACGTGATTAGGTTTGTTCCAATGGCAAAAATGTCCACATGGTGCTCTTGTGCGTGTAATTCATTTATTACTTTCTGGTTAAGATCGTTACTAATGCATATTTTTAAATCGCGAAATGGGACATTTAACTTTTCAGACACATCATTAAATATTTTTTTGCACTCCGTTGTGAGGTAACTTAAATCACCAGAATCGATTCTGATTCCAATTGGCTTGTAATTTATTTCATGCAAAGATAACGCAACGATTAAGAAGTTGTAGATTCCGGATTGTAACGAGTCATAAGTATCTATAAGGCAGATAAAAATTTTGGGGTTAATTTGCGCAAATGAGACAAAGGCAGTCAGTTCACTTTCCTTTGCCAATTCACAGTTGTACAGTTTGTGGATGATCTCTTTGTTCTTATGTACAATGCTGAGGAAGTCATGGCTGTCTAGGTATTTGCTATGCAACGTTTCGCCATCCTGATAAGAACAGATAAAGGAATGGGACATGGTTCCAATTATTGGAATGTCATAAAGGAAGGAAGCATACACGTTCGATGTGAAGTCGCAGCCAACAGCAGAATATCTAGTTCCACTTAGTGCACCATCTGAACCTTGGGCTCTCCTACAACCAAATTCGGCTAGCGGTTTATGATTTATAGAAATTTTATAAAGCATACTGTTTGTAGATATCAAGGTGGGATAATTTATCATATTCAGTAAGGCACTTTCCAAAATTTGACATATTAGTAATGGGCCCTGGATTACCATTAAAGGTTCATGAGGAAATACTATGGACCCTTCTTCTATACTGTAAAGAGACACATCGCTTCCACTTAATCCTTTCAAATAATTTATGAACAAATCGATATCTTGGTAGTGCGACATTTTTTTTCTAACAAATTCTAACTGTGCTTCTGTAAATCGGAACGAATTAATATACTTTATAGCTTCGTACACTCCCGCTAGAATTGCGAATTTTCCCTTAAAGGGGCACTTCCTAAAATAAATTTCAAACGTGGATTCTTGATCATGCTTCTTCTGTCTAAAGAATGTATACGCCATTACCAAATGGTAGTAATCCATGAACAGTGCATTCACTGTGTTGGTGTGTGGTATGTCTATATCTTTGTTAATCCTATTTTCTATTATAAACTTCGTGCAGTTAACCAGGGAAACCATTTTAAGTTTTTCCGCTGGGCAGCTGCTTCCTTGTTCGTAATTTAATACGTTCGAACATGTCCAATTGGATGCTACTTTGGGGACTTCCCTTTCCCTTTTCTGCATTTCCATGGGGCACAGCTTTACCGATGATTCCACGCAGCTTCCATTTGCTACATCGACTTGGCCTTTTTTCTTTTTTAACATTAAAAGTTCTCTTAAATCAGATTCGGTAATTGGGATATCATACACGTAAAGGGAGTTGCTGTTCTTATCAATCCTTACGTTATCCATTAGGTTGGAATTTGCCCCTACTATTCCATCCGCCTTTCCGTTCAGATACAGCTGTTCACCAACGGAAATCCCGTTCTTGGCGCTAAAATGGTCATTACTCATTTGGGCATTCGGGGGGTTACGTGCGTTCAGTGGATCTGTCGGGTATAGGGGAAAGAGCCCGCAAAAATTACATACATACAAGTATGTATTTACTATAAGCTATTTGCGTATGGGGAGACTTATCACGTCGAATCACCAAAAAGGAGGTAGAAAGAAATCCGCTTTTTAGACGAAGTAATTTTTTTAATACTATATTCTTTCTCGTTTCTGCTGATCACACCTTTTTTTATTTTCAGTTTTGGGGCGATGTAGAAATGGAGGTTGGGGGGTTTCACTTGGTCGTGCGCTATGTATTCGCTCGCAGATGCACATACATATGTACGCTTGCTGCTTGATACCTATGGAGCAAAAAAGCTTGCGGCGATTCCTTTGCAATCTAAAAAGGGTGATAACCTCTAAAATGTTGAAAATTACAATTCTGTAAAGTTATGCTAAGAACAAAAATTAACTGAGGTTGTGCATTTGTATATATTTTTTTTTCTTTCTGCACGACACAAACACGGATTATACAAACCAGATGGCACAAAAATTATAGCAAGAAAAACAAAAAAAGTCCTTGATGATCGTAAGTCAAGTTACCCGATTTTATCGGCACAGTGCATATTCT